CCTCAGGCTCCGCACCCCCACCCCCACCCCAGCCCAGGGTTCAGGGTAACCTCCTCAGAACGTGGACACATGCCCTTGGCTTCCAAATGCCGAACTTCCTGTGTGTTTCTCTACAACCACCAGATTCTTTCTAGACATACACTCTCCAGGGCCTGGCCAAGGGTGTGGGTCTGTGCCAGGGGGCAGCGGGGAACAGGAGTGGGGTGCTAGAGGCATATTGGCTGGAGTCAGATTTCTTCTGAGCCTTGGAGGCCCTGTAGGAAGCCAGCCTCAGTCCCTCTCAGCCCTGGGTAGAGAAAGCAAAGCCACAGAGGGGGCAAGGGCTGGCTTGTCTGCCCAAAGGCCAGGGACTGTATGAGCCCAAGGATGGCCATTGGCAGGAACTGGAGCCTGTAGAATTAGACTAGGAGGCGTCTTAGATACTCCTGGCCTCAGATAAAGTTATTTTCAAATTCCCATCTTGAGGCAAATTGCCAGGGGCTGCTGGGGCATACAGAGGAGAAGGCTGAACTGAGTTCTGAACAGGCTGACATTTCAAAGAAAATTAGAGCTGAAAAAAACCTCAGAGGACATGAGGACCAGCTCTTTCAACACCCAGATGAAGAAACAGATCCTAGGACAGTGAAGGCCTCATTCTGGTCACTTAGCGAGCATCCAGGACCAGGGCCTGGGTGTCTGACTCCCAGCTGAGCCCTTCCCCAGCCATGCTTGGCCTCCATGTCCTCTCAGTAATTCTGAAAGTCCTGGGCCTTACCCATCTGGCCTGCCACTTCTCCAATGGCCTATGGCCCTGCCACACCTGCAGCAGGGCTCCTTGGTTTTAATTCCCTAATAAGTCAGCTAGGATGGGGGTAGAGGAGGGGCCCAGGATAGGCCCCAGCTCTCTCAGGCAGCTTGTAATCACCTAGCAGTGGTCTTATCCAGGAGACAGAGGCTCAAAGCGCCATGGAGCTAAGATACAAATCCACAGAGAGAAACTCATGGGTCCTAGGTGTCTGGGGCTTGGGCCAGAGGCTAAGGCCTGGCAGGACAGGGTGTCTACTGAAGGCTGGACAGGGCCCTGTGCCACAGTAGCAGCTCTGGTGGGGCAGTGGGGTTGGCTGAGGGCAGGGGGTAAAGTGCAGGCCCAGGCTCTACGCCCAGGAGACTGGGATTCCCTGGCTTGGCCATCCTGCCTCTGGGGCCTCCTCTGCATTCTGTCCTGGGGTGGTAGGGGGCGTGCCCAGGGCACGGTGGTGGGGACAGAGCCAGGCGTCAGGGAGCCTGCTGCTCTGAGCAGGCCAGACAGTGGGGAGATCGGGTTTCAGCCCAGCTGTATTTTTGGCTGGATGGGCTGGGGGCAGAGCTAGGCAGGCACAGCTGCCCCTAGAGGAGCACACCCCTTCCAGCACACACACTTTCTCCACTCAGATGGACCACCCTTCACTGCCCACCCACCCCCACTCCCCCGCACACTGCAGGCTGAGGGAAGTGAGGTGTCAGGCCCATGGCTAGTCAATCACTTTGGGCTTCTCAAAACTGTGGCTGAGTTTCTGTAGTGTCTTCTTGATCCGCAGGGCAGTGAGGCGGGCAGAGGGGTTGGGGTACCAGCACTCTCGAATCACCTGAGCCACGCCTGAGAGGACCTGAGGGGAGGGAGAGAAAGGCAGAGAAAAGCAGAGACATGGGTCAGGGAAGATGGAAAGGAGGGGGCAGGGAGAATGGCCCAGAAATGGGGAGAAACACAAGCAGGGCAGAAAGCACAAGAAGAGGGGAGATGAGAGTATTGAGAAGGATGGGGGAAGGAAAGACAGAAGTAGTAAGAGGGAAATAGGGGGTCCAGGCAGGGATGAAAAAGGTGAAATAAAAAATGGAAGAGGAAGAGAGTGGAGTGAGAAGGCGTATGGAGAAAGGCAGGCAGGAAAGAAAGAGAGATGTAATTCAGATCTTCAGGAGCACTCAGGTCCCCCATGGTAAGTAGTGTCTGTGGAGCACCTTACCCCACTCCCCACCTCCACTAAGATCCAAGAAAGGGGAGATATGCAAGCCTTGGGGCTCCTGCATCCCCATCAGCAACCAGACCCCAGTGCAGAAAGCAGTGTCTCCCAGCCCTCCACCAACCCTGGCTGGGCTCGGTGAACACTGGAAGAATGGGTGGTGGCACTGCCCCAAAATGCACGTGTCCAGGGAGGAACCCATCCCAGGAAGCTCGGTGGCCCCAGAGTGAGCCAGCCCCACCTCAAGCTGGTTCGTAAGAGGGATTGTATGTGTGTGTCCATATGAATGCATGTGTGGCTTTTTGTGGATACGTATGTTGTATAAAAATATACACCTATGTGTCTATGTACACCTATATGTAGATATAGGTGTACATTTATTCATTCTTTTAATAAACATTCATTGAGCACCAGTTTTGTGCCAGGGTAATAAGGGTTGCAAAGGAGACATGTTCTTTGTCTTTACAGGGTCAACAGCCTGGCACATATATGCATGTGTATGTATCTGTGGTGCACATTTAAGTAGAATCATGTGCATGCTTATATGTGTTTATAGACATGTGAGTATGTGTCTTGTAAAAGTATGTGGAGTGTTTTGAAAAAAGAAGCAAAACAAACAACAAAAACTTCATAGTAAGAAATGCAGCAGAGAACCTCTGATTTTCCCAGCAAGGTGAAGGGTTCTGAAAAATCCCAGAATAACTAGAGGGTACCCGAGGGCCCACAGGCCAGGGGTATGGGGGGGGGGGGGTAGCCAGGGAGTTCACCCTGGAATCTATCCCCCAGAATCTATCCAGCTGTGAGCCACCCCCACCCCCTGTGTCATCCCAGCCCCTGCAGGGGCCTCACCGGGTCTGCAGCCAGCCTGTTGTGGATGGTGGGGGTCTGCTGGTCAACACACACCACCTTCTTCATGTCCTCAAAGCTGGGATCATTGGGAACCACATCATAGAAGGGTGGCTTATAGTCCTCCACAATGCCTGGGAATGGAGCGTAAACACGACAGTCACTCAGGACCCCAAGAAGGCCCAATACTACCTAGAGGAG